GCACCCCCTCCACTGTGTCCATCACGGGACCACTGGCCCCGGGGAGTACTGGGTTGAAAGGGAGGAATCTGGGGCTTAGATGCCACTCCGGGCCCCTTGGCCCGTAAAGAAGGTACTAGGGTCACACTGGGCCTCTCCATTCTAACCCCCAGTGGTAGAGCATGGCCAAGTCTCTAGCAGGGACAGAGGTGGCAGCGATGTTGGGGCCCAGAGTACAATGAGGCTCAGCCTTTCTCAGAGGGACCACAGGGCAAGGTGATGGTGCACCTGGACAGGGGACATGAAACAGCCCGCAGGACTTGGGAAATCAACTTTTAGCTCGTTGTCTTTTCCACCCCGCAACACTACCGCCCCCGGCCACACCCCCAGCTCCCCAGCCCCTGTCCTGCGTGTGCATCCGACCCAGGGTGTCTGAGGACGGGGCCTCTTTCCTTCTGTCCCCTTCAGTGCCAGCGGCTTCCAGCTCCCCAAGGACCCCTCCCACCCTTGCATCCTCATCGGGCCTGGCACGGGCATCGCCCCCTTCCGCAGTTTCTGGCAGCAGCGGCTTCATGATGCCGAGCACAAAGGTACAGCTGGAGGGTTATTGGGGGTGCAGAGGGGGTACCAGGTGGTGCCCAGCACCTGCCTGGGAGTAGAACTGAAGCTGTAGCCACCCCGCAGATGTTTCCTGGCCCCTCTCCCAAGTTTGCCTCAGCCTGTGTGGACAAAGGATGTGAATGCCCTGGGCCTCAGTTTCCTCATCTGTAAAGTGGGGACAGTGCTAGATAGAACGTGGGGATGAAATGGGATTCTAGTTGGGTGCGCAGCTCGGCAGGCCTTGAAGCATGGCCCGCCCGCCCTCTGGTGGCCACGCTTGTAACTGCAGCCTACTGGGTCTTGCAGGTCTCCAGAGTGGCCGCATGACCCTGGTGTTTGGGTGCCGCCGCCCAGATGAGGACCACCTCTACCGGGAAGAGATGTTGGAGATGACCCGGAAGGGGGTGCTGCATGAGGTGCACACAGCCTATTCTCGCCTGCCTGACCAGCCCAAGGTAAATGCTGCAGCTGCCCGCGCAGTGGGTGGAGCATTAAAAGCACAGACTATGGTGGGTGCCTGGCTCCCCACAAGCCCCTCACTTCTCTGAGCCTTCACCTCCTCAGCTCTAAAATGGAGGCGATTATACAGTCACCAGAGTGGCACTGTGAAGCGATTATGTTCACTCTTCCAGGAGAAGAGACGGGCCCTGAGACGTTCAGGGCTAAGTCAGAGTCACATGTGAGCCAATCCCCAGAGCCCAGCCTGCTGAAGGTCCTCGGCCGGCATGTACAGCTGTCGAGGGGGGAGGTGGTCCAGGTCGGCTTCGCGCTCCAGCACAGCATGGCTGGGGGGCAGCCGCTGCTCCCAGCACGGCCCGCGGACCAGCTCTGCTGTGCCGGGGAGTACTTTGCCCCATGAGCCTTGGGGGTCGGAAAAGACTGTTGGCTCAGCCTTTGTGAACTGATCCCATTGGGCTCCTCCCAGACCTGGCACTCCGTGCCCAGTGCCAGGGTCACTGGGCATCTTGTGTAGAGAAAGAGGAGAGAGTCCCCCGTTGACTCCAGGACTTCTGTGTAACTGGGGAGCCCTGCTCTGAATTACACGGGGGATCTCGAGGACAGAGATTCCCTTTGGTGGGGTGTAGGCAGGTGGGCCTCAGAGCTCTGGGCAGGGTAAGTGGCTTGATGGATGCCTCTTTGAAACACGGTGAATTCAGAGCAGATCAGGGAGCCCCACTAGAGAGTCAGCTCCTCAAGGGCATGGCTGTGGCCAGTGTTCACCTCTCCAGCCCCAGCCCGGGCCTGGGCCGGGCAGGGCACCCGTGCACCTCCTCATCTCGAGCCTGGTTCCCGTGCAAGGCCCTGGCCAGGAGGGTGCTCGCCCCACCGCCCCTCCCACCTCCTCTTCATCTCCCCGGGGCCGGCAGGCCTGACCACAGCCGTCGCCCCCAGCACTGGGGGCCTGGACCCACCGTCTCCTCTGGCTTCAGGTCTACGTTCAAGACATCCTGCGGCAACAGCTGGCGGACGAGGTGCTGCACGTGCTCCACGAGGACCAGGGCCACCTCTACGTCTGCGGGGACGTGCGCGCGGCCCGGGATGTGGCCCGCACCCTGAAGCAACTGGTGGCCACCGCGCTGAGCCTAACTGAGGAGCAGGTGGAGGACTATTTCTTCCAGCTTAAGGTAGGGCACTTGGCGTGTGGGCTCAGGATGCAGGCCAAGGACATGGGCCAGGGAGCCAGGGCCAGGGGGCTCAGGCTCACAACAGTCTGGGCTCAAAGGAATCCTAGTGGTGGCGGGAGGTCAGAGCTGGTCGGGCTGTTAGAAGGCCTAACTGTACATCCTGGTCTGGTTGCTCACTTAAACAAAGGCAAACATGTTGATTTTTCTACAAGACTCTCAGAGCCCCTGACAGGCTGCTGTGCGTCGTGGTGCTTCAAGACTGGGAGAAAGTACACGGCATTTCCCAACCATATTTATCTCAGAGCCCACGTTTCCTGGAGCACCTCGTGAGACAAGCACTGGGCAGGCTTTAGCGTCCATCATAAAGTTTGGAGAGATGCTTTGGTGGTCCACGCCAGAGCAGGTGTTCATGAGAGTTACATAGTCTAAGTGAGATTCGAGTATAATCTAAGCATGACAGTTGGGAAGGCAAATGGCTCATGAGTGTAGGTGTGATGGGGAAGCAGGGGGACCCTTGACGCTTGTCGCAGCTTGGACCTGATGAGTGAGAGGTGGCTGCACCAACAGAGCTGACACCTTGGTCTCTGTTTTCCCTTAAAGAGCCAGAAGCGCTATCATGAAGATATCTTTGGTGCTGTATTTCCCTATGAGGTGAAAAAGGATGGGGCAGCGGGGCTGCCCAGCAATACCAGAGCTCCAAGCTCCCACAGGAGAAGTTAAAGCTGCCACCGTAGAATTTAAGGATGGCGCCAACTCTCGATTTTCTGAGGTCACCGGACTGGGGATATTGGAGGGAGATTATATCCCCAAGCCTCACATCTTATTTCCCCATATCCTTCCCTCTCAAACGCTTTACTTGACCTGCTACCCAGTAGCAGCCTGGACTGAGTGAGCCCCTTGCCGGGGTGATGGAGAGATGAGCCTCCCCGGCCCCTTGGAGACTAACTCTGCAGTGCCAGGCCTGGCCAGGGGGTGAGAAGGATGGACCTTCCTTGATTGTACTACTTGGGTGACCACCAGGGGGCGCTGTCACGTCACTCTGTATTTAGTGGCCCGTGTACAGTTATTTATGCCTCTGTACGTAAAAAAAACAAACCCCAGTCTGCCTCTTGAGCCTTCCTTGTATGACTCCTTGATGGAGATATTTATACGAAATGCATTTTATTTTAACCACATTGTATGTGCGTGTGGGTGTTTTGGAGGGAAAGCAGCCTTAAGCTGTATAGAGTTGGGGACTGAGGGGTGCCACAGCCTGGACAAAACTCCCCCACAAAGGGACATATCAGCCTGGCCCCATTGCTCCTCTGAAATGCCCACCGGGTATGGGGACAGCACACGGAGTTCTGTGCACATCTGAAGACCCGTGATGGGAGTAAGGAAGCACAGGCCGGCCTGCGGCCATGAGCTGCATCTCAGAAGGCGTCTCACATGGGGTGTGGCAGGGGTGCGAGGCTGCCAGGTCTTTAGCAAAGGCCTAGACCACAGCCCGGTCTTAGGCAGTCACCGCCTTTTGCTCTGGGGCTGCCTGTTTCGTGAAAGTTTGGCCAGTAATGATTTGGGCCCTGGGTGACAGCACAGGCGAGGCTGGGCTGCGTGTCAAGGACTTGGCAGTGAGGGAAGGACACACGTCTTTCACGGGGAAGGCTTCTCAAGGGACTGAGCCAGGTGAGAGCAAGGAAAGAACTCAGCCAGGGGCTAAGCGAGGGTTTGGCAACATCTGGCTCCCGGCTTGGGCTGGGCCTCTGTCTCACTGGCTCCCCGGCCCACCTCTCCCCTCCACCACTCCTGCTCGGGTCGGGCAGTGGGGGAGAAAGGGGCATGCGACCTCAGCGTCCCAGCGACGCATCTGCATGACGGTCCCCTAGACCAGTGCCTCTCCCACTGCAGCGTGCAGCAGACCACCTGGGATCTTGTCACGTCGCAGGCGCTGAGGAGGTCAGAGGCAGGGCCCGGGATTCACGCCCCCAGGTGCTGTTGGTACTGCTGGTCTGAGGATGCTCTGAGCCCCACCCTGGTTCCCCAGGACAGGATTCTTGGAGCTAGCAGGATGCGTTGGCATCATGGGGACACAGAGCCGGTCCCCATGCCCTGGCTCAGTGACTGGCAGAACCCCGCACGCTGAATCTCTTTCTCCCACGCACACCCTGACCCCCGACACCAGGGGACCCACAGCAGAAGCACACAAACAGGCCTCTCTTCCGAGTCGGCTTCTTAGGAGCCCAGCCCAGCCCTTGGCCCATCTCAGAAGCATGGGGCCATTTCCTGGGTTCACCTCCGTCACCAGGCTTCCTGCGTCAGCAATGCCTGTCCAAGAGGCCTGAGCTTTCTCCCACACCCTTGTGGGGTTTGTGGAGGACCCGCTGGGAGCAGGCCCAGAGGTCAGGAACCACCCGCTGATCAAAGTGAGCCCATGCTCTCTCCCCACTCTTCCCTCAGCCTGGACCTCCCCGATTCCGGAGGCTCCAGAAGGTCTCCAAACTCAGTTACCAAACCATGACCATCCCAGGCACACGTGCCGACAAGCATTGTTCTTTCTTTCTTTATTCGAAGGACACTGGGAAAGGGGAGAGCCCCCTGCCGAGAAGGCTCCTGTCCGTTGGTGGGGACCAGTGGGGTGTCATCAGGGCAGCTTTCCGGGAGGAGAGGTTAAAGATTGGAGGAAGGGGAGGGGCTGAGGATACCGCCTCCTGCGTGGAGCGACAGCTGGCGGCGTGGGACGAGGTGGACTTGGCCAGAAGCAGAGCCGGCCAAGGACGTGGTCTCTCCAGCAAAGCTCGGGATCCGGGGCAGGTGGGGGTGATGAGCAGAGCCAGACAGCAGCCCAGGGCAGGGCTGGCCTATGTTTGCACGTGGGTCAGCTGGATGTCGCCCCCCACCTCCAGGCTGTTGATGGCGGGCAGGTTCTTCAGGCGGTGGTAGTATTCACACAGGTGCTGGCCATCCACAGCCAACTTGAGGCAGGAGCCTTCACACATGATCCACACCTGGAAGAGAGGCCCCGGCATTTGTACCCCGCCTGGACTGTCCTCAAAGCCAAAGGCAGCCTCACGTCTCCCTCCCTCCTTCCCACCTTCCCCAAATGTTAGTTAAGCAAGACCCACACCTGCATTCGAGCCACACCGAAGGATTCACTCTTCCGCGAACACGCCTCATGCGCTCCTTCCCTGTGCGTTTACATATTCTGTTCCTCCCCCCAGAACGCCCGTCCCCCTGGGCTCCCCGCTCTGCACACCTTGTCTGCGTGGATCACTGCTACTCCCCCTTCAGGGCTCACCCTCCTGCAGCCAGCCTTCCCGGCCTTTCCCCACCTCCTGGGCCCCTCCTAGCCGAGCCAGGCGCCCCCCTCAGGCTGTGTCCCGCACCCCAACCTTACCCTCTGGCTGGACCCTGAGCCTCTAGGGACACAAACGCTGGCCTGTGTCATCCATGCCCCTAGGACCCGGCACACAGGAGTGCTGGGCGCCTGCACTCCTGCTGCGGCAGCCTCCTAACTTGTCTCTTCCACCCCGACATTCTCCCAGAGGTGGTGGCAGCACAGCTGTTAAAATACCGTCGTCCCCATCACATAGCTGACAGCAGCAGCAGAGTCACTGCGCACCGGGCACTGTCCTAAGTGTGTCACATTCCTTCTTCCATCTCTGTGAGATCAATGTTACTAGCAGTCCCATATTTTAGATAAGGGAACGGAGGCACAGAGCTGTTAAGACACTTGCTCAAGGTCACACAGCTATCAAAGCATATTGCTCTCTGGCTTGAAACACACCAACACCCTGGGCTAAAATCCACAATCCATGACCCACAAGGCCCTACATCGGTCATTTTCAACCCTGGGTGAGGAGTATTAGGGCATATTTAAGAATACGGGTGTCCAGGCTCACCCTCTCGTGGGCCTGGGGTGGGGCCAGGCATTGCCTTTTCTTTTTCAAGCACTTAGGTGATTTGAGTACGTAGTCAGGGCCGAGAACCCAGCTCTGTGTCGTCCGGGCCGCCAGCAGTGCCACCCGCCCCCTCCCCATCCTCGCTCTCCCAGAGGCCCCCGGGCCTCCTGCTTCCTAGACAGGCCACGACCATGGCCCTCTGCCTCGGCAATAATATCAGCTCCCCCTGCTGCCCCTTAGATTTTTTGCAAGGTGGGCTCCTCCTACCACTGAGGTCCCGCCTGCGCTGGGGCCTCCTCCAAGGTCTGCCCCCACCTAAGGAAGCATGGCCCCTGCCCAGGGCTCACTTATTTCTTATTCTACTTTGCCCTCCGTGTAGTACCCGTTGCTATTCTGCAGCGATCTGTCTGTACATTTGTCTCCTTGTTCCTCCCCGACCTTGATTGTAAACTCCATGGGGGCAGGACCTGGACTGTTTCCTCATTGCCCCCCAGTGCCTGGAGTACTTGCTGCTCAAAGTGGGCCTGGATGAAATAGCTGATAAATGACTGTTGAATGAATGAATGAGTGAGTGAGTGAGTGAATGAATGACACCTCATTCTTGAGTTCAGTTTGGCACTGATTGGCTGTGTGACCTTAGCAAGTAGCCTGCACGTGTGAGTTAGTCTCCTCATCTGTAACAGCAGGTAGTACCTGCCACCTGCCTTATGTGGGACAGTGACAGTAATTCGATAGTAGCAGTAATTTGGGGAACACTTTCCCTTCTTCTGGGCCCCGTCCTCACCCCAGAGGCGTCAGCTCCTGTCTCGATCAAGGTGCCCCCAGATGACCTCCACCCGCTGCCTCACTGCCCCTCGAGAGCCCCTCCCAGCTCGGGGCTGCAGCATCTCACCGAGAAGCTCTGGCCTCGGAAGAAGGGCATCTGTCGGGGCAGGCTTCGCTCCTCAGACCCCCAGCAGCTGTTGATTTGCGTGTTGCGGACCACGGCGTTCTCGTCGAAGCGGGGGTTCAGGTGGAAGGCGATGTCTCTCCCGGAACACAGGTTGATGTAGAACCTGGGGATGGGCCGCTCCCATGGACTCTCTGCCCCGAGCCGGGGGAATGGCCAGAATGACCTTGGGGTGTCTCTTCTCTCCAGAAACCCTGGCTTACCTCTGAGCACTGGGCAGGACGGTACCCGACACCATGATGCTCTTGGAGGGGTACAGCCCACCGGGGATAGAGGTGAAGAAAGGTATCGGCTGTGGGGAGGAGGGGACAGGTCAGACAGCAACAGCCAGAGCAGCCGCCGCTGCAAGAGAAACTTCCTGTCAACTTCAGTGCGTTTGGACTGTCAGTCGACAATTTAACTGTGCCTGTATCTTCAAGAAAGAACTCCATGGTATCTTTACTTGGCTCAGTAAATGGCAAAGGAAAACTTTCCAGCATTCCTCAAATTAACGGGCATTTACTATCATGAAAAGAGCTTTGGTTGGACGCAAAGGATGCTTGGGCTGAGAAGGGAAGACCGTGTAATATGCTCGTGGTGAAGGGACGATTTTCAAGGTGAAAGCCCCTTTCCTAAGTCTTCTAAGTTACCTGGAAGTTTCCAGAAGGGACTGCTTTTCATTTTGCAAGCTGCCCTCCCCTCTCCCCCTACCCCAACCCTGCACAACACAAACCAGACCTCCACCCCTCCCAGAGAAACCACTTACATAGGTTGGGCTGGGATATGCCATGGGTGGGATCATGGGATTCTGTTGAAAAGAGATCGGGAAATTCAGTACGGGAGTGCACGCACACGCGCATGCACACACACACACACACACACATGCCCTTGCACGTTCTAGAGGGGATGCTCCAATGGGAGACTGAGGTCGTGAGGCTTCAGGCGTTGGATTCTCCCAGTCACCTTCCTTCCCATGTCAGCCTTGGCAGGACTCCTGCCGTGTTCCTGAATCCCATCATGGTCACCTGCCCCTCAGCCCCTCCAAGGGCAGCCGCACTGACTCCAGGCCCCCCGTGTGCTTTGCACTGGCACAGGAGGAGGAGACGCAGCCTAAGCCTGTGACCAGCAGTGACATCCTGGGGGCTTGTCCTCAGGATGGAGGGTCTCGTATCCAGATACTGGGACCACTGCACTCCCTTCTCAGGGACAGAAGGACGAGTTTTCCGGTTGGTCCCTAGGGGACCTATTTCTTGGGTCGTTGGGTAAATCCAGCCAGATCCAGAATCTCTACAGTCCCAAGGAGAGTTTTACGTGCGTTTCTCCTAAGCAGAGAGCCCAGCCCCAAATGTCCCCATCTTCCTTGCTAAACTGCTTTCTTCCTGACTCTGGGCCTAGAGAATTCACTCCTTGGGAAAGGGGCACGTGGTGGGGCTGTGAGCTGACCAGAGCGTTCAGACTTACAGGGAACATCTGTCCAGGGGTGCTCCGCACGGTGTGGATGACGGTCTGAGTCTGGAAGAAAGAAGCCCCGTTATAACCGGCTCTCACCGGTGTGAAGACTGCCACCTGCCACCAGAGGGCACCACTTAACACACTCCTCTTAGGTGAGGTCATCTTGAGCTTGTAACCAGCCCCATCATCCTGACCAGACGCCCCAAAACTGGCAGGTAGAGGTGTTTCTTCTCTGGAGAAGAAACATGGCTGCATTTGTGGCCTGCATCTTTCTTCTCAGGGGAATCTCTCCAGCACAGCCTCGCTTTGCAGAAGGAAGAGGTGAACGTGGGGCCTTGGTGTCCTGTGGCTGCCCACAGAGTGGCAGGGCCTTGAGCAAACCAGCGGCCACTGGGGCTCCTTCCCGATTCATCAGGGCCAGCCACCCCTCCCCGCACCCCGAGCTCCCTCCCACCATCACCCCAGCCGGGCAGATGGCCCAAGCATCTGGCCTTGGCGGCCCTTCCTTCCAATGGGAGAGGCTCCATGCTTGACTCCGCCTCCTCCTTTTAACCCACAGGAAAAGCCGAAGTGAAGAGATTCCGAAGAGAGAGCAAGACACTTACAATGGGAGCCGAGCTGGCCGGTGAGATCCTTGGAGGCTGAAGGGGATGAGAAACCACAACGGTGGTTAACACTGGTGCCACACGAGAGTAACACGGCAGCAGAAGCCGTGGTAAGAAATGCCTCCCCACACGCGGCCTCTCTCCTGAGCCTTCTGAGCGCCCAGATTCTCACCCAGCATTCCGGGTATACTGTGGTTATGTAGGGGGCTTGGGGAGGGGGAACATTCCCACTGGCTCCTTCAGAGGGAGAGGAGGGTGTGTCTGGTGCAGACCATTCAGCTTCCCTCAGCTCCCGGAGGCCAAGCCGTTACTCCCGGCGCCACATTTCACCCATAAGGTAAAAACTTACATTGGCTGAAGGCCTGCTGTGTGCCAGGCTCTGGCTTCAAGACTTTACAATGAAGGAGGCATCCTTGCCTCCTATTTCGCCAGTGAGGCAACTAGTCTCAGAAAGGTTAGGCAACTTGCCCGAGCTCACCCAGGTAACAAGAGAGAAAATCCAGATGGTACCCAGTTCTGCTGATTGTATCCACCACACCCTGTCCTCCCCAGGCCAGGGCCAAAGTCGGGCTGCCCTGCAAAGGCTGCCTGCGGCCCCACCAGTCCTGCGTCCGCGTGGCAGCAGGCAGGTGCCCCAGCTGCGCCGTGCTGGGCCCGGGGAGGCTGGGTAGAGAGACGGCCTTCCTCCCAGTCCCCACTGCTCAAGTGGCCAAAGAAAGGGCCAGGCCTGCTCCCCCTCCTGTCTGGGCCCCAGCCTTCACCCGGCAGACTGTTCCGCTCGCAAACCTATTCCACATTCACTAACCGAGTCCCTACTGCGTGCCAGGCACCCCAACCCACAAAGGGCCTGGGGGGGGGAGGGAAGGCGGGGGGAGAGTGGTGAGGAGATACACACAGACACAATGATAGCAGCACGTGGCGACTGGTGCAGCACAGAGATATCCAAAGTCTGTGGTGACTCAGGAGGGCATCCAGCGATCTGCTCCGGGGACGGTGCTCCAGAGGAGTGACACTTAAGCAGAGCTATGAAGGGCCATTAGGGAGTGGCTGGACGCGGGTGGCAAAGGGTGCTTTCAGCACTGGGACAGCATGTGCAGAAAGCACGGTTGCCTGAGAGAGCCCCAAGTGAGCAGTGGAGGCTGCGTGAGCTTCCTGGGTGAGGGATGAGGCGGGGAGGGAGGCTGGGGCGAGACTGGGGAGGATTCTGCAGGTCCTGCTATCTGGACTTTATCTAGAGGGACTTGGGGCCTAGAGCCAAGGACAGCTCCCAGGTCCCCAGCTCTGGGCCCGGGGCTGTGGATGGAGGCAGGGAACCTTTGGGCATGACAGGGCCTGGAGACCCTGGTTGGTGTGCTGGCTGGAGCAGCG